TGATAGAGCTGGTTAAACACATTCCAAATATAATTTTAATACAGAGATCATTGCTACGATAGCTGAGTAATACAGGTTTCCTGAATCGGAAGTGACGAACGCCAAAGGAAAACACGAGTTTCCTTAGATTTACTGGCTGTGTAAAGCTGCTTATGATGTTGGTGTTATTCAGCATCTGTTTATTCATGTCGATGAGGTTCATCGGTCTATTGTGGTATGGGTTAAATGTTGTGACTAATGTCATGATGTTATTATTCTCCCTCGTCTGTTTTGGGACCCGTAGAGTATCTTGGTCTAGTGTTAAAGCTGTCTTTACGGCATTGTCGATCAGCTTTATTAGATAATCTTGTTTTATAAGAAATTGTTTTAGCTCACCAAGTCTTTGAGTCTTCCACGTTTCATTCGACACAATTGTACAGACCCGTCTTGCTAGATTAAACGGGATATTTCGTTTTGTGTGTGCTGGATGACTCGATTTGAAGTTAAGGTATTGGTGAGTATCTGTTTTCTTATAAAATAAGTCTGTTTCGATAACACCATTTTTCGATAAATGTACTTCAACATCTAAGAAGTTCAATTTGGATTTGCAGCTTTCCATTGTGAACTTGAGCGGCGTATCCAACGAGTTTAATATTTCATGGATTGTATCTAGGTCCTTTTCATCCGAAAGGATGTCAAAGCAGTCATCTAGAAATCGCCTCCAAGATTCTTCTAAATGTTGTCGTTTATCGAACCCCAGTCTTCTCTCTTTCCACGTTATAAAATAAAACTTCTAAATAGCCATGGGATACCGTTGCATAGGTCGGTGCTACTAAATGGCCGTGATGACGTCGGATTTTGTTTCTAGTCCATGGTACGTCAGTATTTGTTTGAAAAAGGAGGAAATTGAAATTATGTATATTGAATTTTGGAATGATGTTTTTATCATATATGTGTAACGGTTGAATGTATTAGGGCCTGTGAGATTCCCTTCTAATTAATAGAGTATGATACTCATGTCACTTAACAATGAATTGATTCTGTCGGATTTAATATACAGGATCAATAATTGCTATAACCTGATGAGAGTCAAGTCTAGCCAAATGCTTATCCTAAAATATTTACATGACCATTACTCTTATCAAATTTACAGAAAAGCATTCATTATAGGGATCATGCGTTCATTTACTAAGTTCACAAGAAGTTTTCCTTATGGATGATTTCGCATTAAGAGCAAATGATATAATTTGAGACATCAGGCCACAGACCACCAATTATTTCCCCAATGACGTTAATGTTAATTCTCGTCTCTTAGACCGGCTCTAACGTTTTCCCAAATGTTGTTAGGTTGAACGCTTTCTACCACAGATGGGGCAACATGCGGCAACATCTTGCTCAAAAACAAGTATAAATAATAATAATAATAATAATATGTCCATTTATATAGCGCCAATTCCACAAATCGTGCTCATAGCGCATACAACTACACAAAAGTCTTTTGACTCGATGTATTTTTTGTTTGGTATTTTTTTTGTCAATTTTTGTAGTGGGTTTTGAAAAGATGAGTTTTTAATCGAGATTTGAAGATTGATAAAGAAGTCACAAAACGGAGTTCAAATGGAAGTGCATTCCAGGTTCACCATGGAAACTTTGAGATTCCACAAAATGGAAGTAGCATATAAATAACCAAGCAACTTATCTCTTGTATCCTTCCGCAGAAAATGTATATTAAAACACCTTTCTTCGATTTTACACCACAAAGTCAATAGAAATCGCCATGCAAAAGGGTGAGTAGGGAAAGGGAGAGAAAGACTAAAAATAACTTTCGCCCTCAATTTGGTGAGCTGTGTTTAAAAAGTCAACAAAGATCGCCACTAAAGATGGAGAAAGGGGGAAAGAAGAAAAAGACTAAAAATAGCTTTGTCCATCAGGACACTATATAGGACACAATTCACCAATTATTCCTAAGCCGTCATCCGTTCGAAGGTTATTTTTAGTTTTTCTCTCCCTTCCCCCCCCCCCTTTTGCATGGCGAGTTTTGTGTTTTGTTGACTTTTTGGTCTTTACTTCCGGTTAGTGTATTTCAAGTTTTCTATGGTGAACCCCATACGTGCTTTTGAGCAAAAGGTTGCCACATGTTGCTCTATATGTGGTAGAAAACGTTCAACTTAGAGACGGTCTAAGAGATGAGAAATTATATTGAAGTCAATGGGGAAATCATTAGTGATCTATGTCATATCATAACTTTACAAGCAACTGAAGGTTCTTAGAGATGTCTATGATGACTGTCACTTGCTGAGTGACAAATTTCTCGCGCGGTTTGTGTTAACTCTACCATCTAAGCTATTAAGAGACTTAGTGAACTCAACTCCAACTCTTGAACTAGACCCAAGGCGCTGATATCTTGTTATACGAATCCATTACGAAACCATAATTATGGGCGAAATTTGGACCATTGTTGCAGCTTCTCGTTCGGGGTATACTTATCTGTTTCCTTGTATAATGGTGTAATACATCTTCGTCGCAAAATAATAGTTTTTTTTCTTTTAAAAAAGCATTCTATATTCCATACTGGATTGTTTATAAGATTGTGATATCAGGTACATAACTTCACGAAAACATTTTATTCTATATTCCATACGGGATTGTTTATAAGATTGTGATATCAGGTACATAACTTCACGAAATCATTTATGCATTGTCCTGACGGTTTTCCTCCTTCGAACTAAGTCAGTTTCAACTTTAGAACAACTGGCCTTATTGACAACATTATAAACGTCCACAGGGGTGACGATCATGGAACATTTCAAAATAAGCTCCTTGACGACATTGATAAATGGAAGTAATTTAAGCGAATGAATGATAGATTAGGCAATATATTTATCTATAGACGTTTATATAGGCAAAATAAATTTGACCCATTGCTATTCATTTGATCAAAGGTCAAAAGTTAGAAGATGAAGTAAGTATTGGTCGTGACCCTTACATGAACCGATATTTTGTTGTTACGGTACGCATATTGATTGTCCAACACTCGGGTGACCTCATCAAATCGCCACAAATGGGTTCTACATTTTAAAATTCCGCGCCCTTCAAGCTTCGCAGCATACCCTTAGCAAATTATTTACAAGAATTACGTCAGTGTGAATAGCAGATGACTTTCTTTGTAGAAATACTTCGGCACCAATGTCTTGAATAGCCCGAAAACGGTTTTTCCAATTCAACCTTTTTAATAGTGTTATATTCGCTTTGATACACACAGACACCTTTCTCTATGGAAGCATTAATTTAGATTAGGTTTTGATCATTGGACTACGCATTTCCTATGTAATTATACGTCATCTACTATTTCAGTGTTACCCAAAATGTACTAAACTTATCAGCAAAGCAAAACGATCATGAGGAAATTTTATTCGAAACATTTGATTTGATTTGTCCATTTTGATTAGTTTGCTAAACCTGTAACCAGAGTGCAATGTGTCGAATTCTGGTTGAAAACGTTGATACGGGGACACTGTTAGCATTGATGTAGGGGCATTGTTAGCACACACAATAAGACGTCGATACAGGGACACCGGTAGCATACACAAGACCTTGATATAGGAGCACTATTAGCATATACACAATAAGACGCTGATACAGGGACACTGTTAGCATATACACAATAAGACGTTGATATAGGGGCGCTGTTAGCATAAATACAATAAGACGTTGGTACAGGGGCACTGTTAGCAAACACAATAAGACTCTGATAAGATTACCCGTGATTAGTTAAAAGGCGATTGAGGCGTTCACAGTTTTTACCTATGACATAGAATCGGTTAAACACAATAAGACGTTGATACAGGGGCACTGTTAGCATATAAATCTTAGCGGAAGTGATTCAAATATGAAAATTAGTTGTGGTTACCATGGACTGAACACGAAAAACGTTTTTTCAGATCACTGAACATTTGTCTGACGACAATCGTAGATATATAATATCAGTTAAAACTTAGACTATTCATAAGAAGAACTAATTGCCACGATATCAGAAAAAAGAGAAAATATAAAGACAGGCTGTCAGCGTATCTCTTAGTTTAGATTAGTTTTGTGTTTTAGACAATAGTTACAGTTTATATGGAGGCACTAAACTATTAATGTATAATCGCATAATGTATCTTCAGATCACAAGTCGAGTTGTGATTTGTAACCTGAAAAAAATAGAAGTATGATTCTAGTTTATTTATACCCGTTTAACTATAACTTCGCTTACTAATGTATGCGCAAAAAAAATAAAGGCTGCCCTTTCTTTGGCAATCATCCCCCTTCTTGTGAATAGTCGGTTTCGAACTGATGTCCTTAAGCGGTCTCATATAACAGCTTTTCGTCTTCAAAGGAATCGTCTCAGAAACTGATTGTTGTCACTCTCCACCTCAGTCGGTCAGAATAAGTGATTTAATTTTTTTGTGTCATCTCCGGAATCATCAAAGCGTTGTCACGACCCAAGGCATCTATGTTATATCTGGAATGTGGCAAACCATTTCAAACACATGTGGAAAATGTGTAGACGCTGTCATTGTCCTTTAACGTTAAATGTAGTCAAGATTGGTAACTCACCTTTAAAAAGTTTTAATCAATCAAAGGATGTTGAACTATAGACGTATTGTAATCGTAGCTTACATGGTTCAATATCTCAAACAGTGATAGGTCTGGTTTTTCTTGACGGATTGATCTTTTCTGACACTGTATAAGTATCTTGATAAGATTTCATAGTAAACATAATTTTATCCATTGTTTCCTTGAAAACATTATCGACTTATATCTAACCGATCCATTTTTCGGTGCTTATAGTCAGACGTCTACTTGATTTCAGACGTTTTCTCACTATACATGTATCATTTGTCTCTTTTGACTCTGGCATTTTGTGATCTCCTCAATCATACTTGAGACTTAAATCGTTCACTGTTATTATGTCCTCAAGACCTAAGGAGTAGAAAATCAAACTATTTTCTTAATGATCTAAATTTGTCTCGTTTCAGGTTATTTGAGAACCATCCAGATATTAAACATACCTTCGTGTCTTTTCGTGGTCTCCAGCCATCCGAACTCAATAACAGCTCTATATTGAGAGCACATGCTATGCGTCTGATGACGTCAGTAGATAAGTGCCTCTCTAGATTTGATAATATGGAAAAGATGGAAGAAATGATGAAATCCCTTGGAGAAAGGCATGCTACTAATTACCAAGTTTGTCCAGAACACCTCGATGTAAGTGGGTCTACACAAATTGACAGCTTTACGTTTGCTCATTGGGAATATGATTGTGTGCAAATCCAATAATACTAATTGTCCCAATGGAGATAGTTAATTAATGGCTTAATTTTCATCTATCAATATTGTTGCAACGTGATCTATTTTCATCAGCCAGATAAGGAAATGCAGAAACATCTACCCTTTCAATAGAAGAGGTTAATCATCGTTTCAAATAATTTGCGCTTTGACCAAGGGATTGAAGACCCTCAGTATCAAATCATTTTACATGTATTATGAAAATGTTTCGTTTCGATTTTAAGGTAACGCCCGGTTTTAAATGACAACGAAAATGACAGATACTCTATTCGTTTTTATACGCCCACATTTTGATGTGGACGTATATTGTCGTCGCCCCTGTCCGTCTGTCCGTCCGGACGTCCCCAATTGTTTGTGAACGGTCTACAGGTCACAATTTTTATCCCATTTCAATGAAACTTGAAATATAGGTTTATCACCCAAAGATCTCGGTTCCTTTCGATATTGGCATGTATCGGACTGTAACTTCATGGATTATGGCCCCTGATTGTACGAAAAATCGCGTTTTTAGCTTGTAAACATTGTAGAGGTCACAATTTTTATCCGATTTGGTTTAAACTTGAAATGTATGCTTATAACCCAAAGATCTCGGGTCCTTTCGATATTCGTGCATATCGGAACGTAACTTCCTGAATTATAGCCCCTGATTATACGGAAAATCACGTTTTTAACTTGTGGACCCTATAGAGGTCATAATTTTTATCTGATTTAACAAACCGTATTATTATATCACCGTCAAACCCTAAGGACGACTGAGTTCGAATTTCGTGAAAATCGGCCCAAAACTGACAGACAAAATGGCCACCGTTCGTTCTCAAATAGCGTAAAAATATGGTATATCAAGGTTTTGGACTCTATAGCGGTCAGAATTTTTATCCGATTTTGTTGAAACTTGAAATGTAAGTTTATAACCCACAGATCTCGGTTCCTGTCAATATTCGCACATATCGTACCGTAACTTCCCGAATTATGACCCCTGATTGTACGAAAAATCGTGTTTTTAGCTTGTGGACTCTATAGAGGTCATAATTTTTATCCGATTTAAAAAATCATATTATTATATCACCGTTACACCCTTAGGACGGCTGAGTTCGAATTTCGTGAAAATCGGCCCAAAACTGACAGACAAAATGGCTGCTCTTCGTTCTCAAATAGCGTAAAAATATGGTATATCAAGGTTGTGGACCCTATAGAGGTCACAATTTTTATCCGATTTTGTTGAAACTTGAAATGTAAGTTTATAACACAAAGATCTTGGTTTCTTTCGATATTCGCGCATATCGGATCGTAACTTCCTGAATTATGGCCCCTGACTGTACGAAAAATCGCGTTTTTAGCTTGTGGACCCTATAGAGGTAATAATTCTTATCCGATTTAAAAAAAAACGTATTATTATATCACCGTTACACCCTAAGGACGGCTAAGTTCGAATTTCGTGAAAATCGGCCCAAAAATGACAGACGAAATGGCCGCCCCTCGTACTCAAGTAGCGTAAAAAAAATATGGTATATCAAGGTTGTAGACACTATAGAGGTCACAATTTTTATCCGATTTTGTTGAAACTTGAAATGTAAGTTTATAACCCTAAGAACGCGGTTCCTTTCGATATTCGCGCATATCGGACCGTAACTTCCTGAATTATGGCCCCTGATTGTACGAAAAATCGCGTTTTTAGCTTACCCTATAGAGGTCATAATGTTTATCCAATTTAAAAAAAACAACATATTATTATATCACCGCTGGTTAATTTTAATATTAAATCAAAGGTAATCTTAAGGTTCATGAATAGTTTATTTGTGCCATTCCTAACAATATTGATTTTCTTTATACGATGTTCTATTTTGTGATAATGTAACTTACTCAGACGTGTCCTGTTGATCGCACATATAAGAAAACCCTACGTTATCTAAATCTAATTTAATTTTAGCTCCCAATTTACTAAATCATTAACATATAGCAATGGCGTTTATATTTTTCAATATTTTAGATGTTAAGGCTGCGTGCGATCTAAATATGAATTATGAATTCGCCCACTGTCAGTCCATGACTCTTAAGACCACACTTTAGCGTCTCTAGGTTCAATTCATTACGAGCTAACCTATTAATGTCTAAACAGGAGGGTATCCACATCAGCTCTACCCAATTATCCTTTACCAGCTAATTTGCGCAGGCTTGTTCGGTTTCTGATTGATTCCAGTTTCTTGAATCACAGAGAATAAAGAAACGTAGGCGTTCCTGGGTGGCTATGTACTCGAGTTCCAGGCTAGCAATCATGTCAGATGTGTACACAGAGCACATATATTATTGTTGCACGGTACTCTTTATCCCGGCAATGGTGATCCTAAGCATAGATTTAGTTGCTTATGGATTATTCCCAGTATCCAACCCTAGTAAAAGTCATGTTGTCCTTTGAAAAGGGGGGGGGGGGGTCTAAAGAACTCTGATTGACAAAGGTGAAATCATTTATCCGGGCGCCCCGGCCACCTCTCCTATTGTACACGTACTATCTGACCAACCATTTTCTTGTGATTGTCTTTAACAGTAACACTTACATACTTGAAGTGGAGAGACAGGGCTTCCAATATGGTATCCAGAATGCATCAAGTATTATAAATTAGATGTAACACTATCTTAGTGATAACAGAGATTAGTTTCGTACATATAGGGTTTATTTACATCGGAACAGAATTTAAAACATCTACATAAATACAACAAGAACATAAATAATAATATCTACACGGAACATTAATATAGTAAATGACTATATTTGAACCATTCCGCCCTTCTGTCGTGGCAGCGGCTGAACTCGGATGAACCCATTCACCGGTCTCTTCTCCTCACTTCTCCTCATCGCCCGTCTGCGCCTCTTCTCATCCCTGCTCGTCTCTCTATCAGCAAACTCCTGGTTATATAGCGTCCGGCGATAGGGAAAATAGATAAGACTCATGGTCATATATGAAATTGTCTATTTATCACGTCCTGGTATGATTAACTGGCCGATGCGTATATCCTTTGAAGTCATGCGGAGCTTGTATACAGATCAGATCATAATATATAGCTTGTAAATATGGCATTAATTGCATGTTTAATTAGATCATAGTCAGTTCGGTTATAGAGTTGCAAAGTTAATATAATATATTATCAAAAATCAACTGGGTCAAAAAGTTCTATGCCCCTAAATGATCGTTCAATTTGATGAAAGTTATAGAGCACTTTGTCACATAGAGTAACAAAGATAACTTCATGGAGAATTAAGGTAACACAGACAACTTCAGGGGATTATATCCGAAAACACGCTTACATTTTACACAGATGATCTGCATAAACCTTTGACAGGATTTAATTAAGCATGATTTGTTAAACGCACATGGTATGCTGCCAAATTAATCAAATGAAGGATGATATTCTTCGTCAGATTATGGAAGAAATGCAACCTCGTCGTATACGCAAATTGATGAACGATATTCATGCCAAGCTTTAGCCGAACTGCCTGTAGACTACTAATTCTGTGGCATTATTATCTCGATAAAGCTGAGTTCAAACCGGTTTGTATTTGTGATCCTGGCCATAAATATGAAATATCTGCACGGCCGATTTCATATCCATGAAATAATCAACATCAACCAATTTTTGTCATAGAAATTTGAATTAATAATTGAAACGTTGCAGACAAAATAACAATAACATATAGTTTCAATTTCGTATATTTCAACTCTTATACATTGATTTTGGATTAAAATGCGATTGGTTTCACATTTATATTGCAAGTAATATATGCCAGGGAAGTAATATACGCTTGACTTATGATTCTATTACATTTCTGTCAATAAAGTGTTTATATGCCTTTGACTAAAATAGAGTTTTCAGACAGATAAATGTAGAGGAACCATAAAAAAGGCGTAGGAAGTCAATGATCTATTAAGCTTCACTGAGGTTCAAATTGAAAACATAAAATTTCTCAGGTCCGATTTCAAGAATTCATGTGCAAGTGTATGATTTGACCCTCAAACATATAAATATGACGTATTATGCCTTGTAAAAAATTTTATGATCACGACTTTTTAGTGTCGAGAAAGTTTTTTTTATTATTTACGCTTTTATTTTGAGGATGGTGGGTATTGTGCGTTGCTATAAAAGGAAAGTTTGGTTCATTAATTTAATCTCTCATCGAGTTTTGCATTTCCCAGAGGTAGTAAACCATGTTTGTAGTGGCTCGGCGTAGGGTTTATGCAATAGTGGGCCCCCATAGCACACAAATGAAACATCATTCAAAGACTTATTTGAGTTGTAGCGTTAATTCCAATTTATATTTGGGCGTTATATCGGACTCGTGTTGTACATTCATCTAACTGAACTAAAAAGTATGCAAGTAACATAAGAATATATTGCATAAGGGATATATATCGCTGAGCGGAGCGAGACGCGAAGTGTTTTATGATTAACATGATTTACAGTAACCGCATTTCTAACATATTTTTCTTTTGAATCAACGAGTACACCTAAAAGCACGATAATTTTTGAGTCTGGTATAAATAGTACGTCCATAAAGTAATCCTCTGTTGCATTGTCTGTTCACTAATAATTCCTTCGAAGACCAAAAGTTGTTATGTGAGGCTGTAGGAGGATATTTGACAATTCAAAAAAATAATTGACTTTCACTAGACAGGAGAAAACGAGAAAAATAGAAAACGTCCGTGCTTTGCCATGTTTTTATTAAGTATAGAATGAATAAAAACAAAGGAAAGTACGGAACGGACTCTTTCTATTTTTCTCGTTTTCCCTTATTTAGTGACATTCAATTACTTTTTTGAATTGTCAGGTATCGTCTCGTCACTTCAGACAGTTATATAGAAGGATAAATCTTGTTTTCCTTGCTTGTTCATCATTTCCCTTTCTTTAAATCTTCATAACGCATCTATCGGAGCACTGATCTCTGTGTTAAAATTATATCTGGAACGGGTTTAACCAGTTCTATCACTTATGTGACACCAATATTGCCTTTAAGTGGGGCAAAGCAATGTTACCACCGCGGCTCCATATTACCAGAAGCTAGAGCATTTTCGGACAAAGAAATCGTACTTTGTGTAGTGTAGTATTGATGACGTTTCTGTTTTCTTTGTTTCAGTTGATGGCTCCACATTTTAATTATGCAATAAAAAATAATCTGAAAAATCAATGGACCCCGGAACTGGAAAAAGCCTGGGACACATTATTCAAGCTGATGACCTACTACATGAAAGAAGGAATGACGTGAAATCTACACTTTCCTCCGAAATTGTATGAGAATCTGACAAAATTAGAGAATTGTAGCCATTGCATTCAGAGGCAGCGAAGCTTGATATTTATTTTTTCAAATTTTATATAGGCTAAATGCTACCCAATTCTTTAGATGTCAAATTGACAGATCTGCTGTGAAATATTAGACAAATGCATATGTGAAGTGTCTTTGTGTAATTTTGCTAAATATCAACTCGAAAATAATTGTAGACACATTTTCAAGCAAATAATATTGAGTTGTTTCCCTTTTAATGGAAATCGAAATACAGAGGCCTTCCCGTAAATTGTGCGCTAGTCGCCTGCTAGCGGGCTTTAGATTATGCAGTTCTAAAGATATTTGTTTTTTTTGATAGATCTTAATCTTTTGAAATTCTGATATTGGATTGGATTTAGATATGAAATATATGTTGTTCTGTTATATCAGTGGTATATTCGATTCAGGTTAATAAAATATCATACTATTGAAAATGTATTCACGAATTTTAAATTTTATTTAAGAAACAGATGTGGATCAATTGGGCAGATCTGGGTTATATAGTATGCATTGTCACCGACAGTAGCACACAAACACGATTGTTAAGTATGGTACCTGGGAAGTGCTTATTCAGACATGTACAAATAAATTTATAAGCCCAATCACGCAGGTGTATGCTTTTTCAGATTTATTCATGCGATGATCATCGACTGAACAAGGACACCTGGATAAGGCAAATTTACTCAACCATATTCGGTAGCTGTTAGGATTGGATGATTCTTGCCTGGATTCTTTTTTCAATGGGACAGACTGTCAATTTAAATAATGTTGACCTCTTTACTTAAAGCTCATGATGCATTGTAGCTAATTCAGAACGTATTGTGCATGTTTGGGAAATGTTACTTTAATCCGTTAACAGTGAATCCTGCCCATTTAAAGATTTGGGTGAATATAATTTATCCACTCTAGCAATTGGTATGCTTCTAAAGATATTTTGTCACTTATACAAATTAAACGAAGACGGTGTCATGGAAGACCTTTCGGTCGCGGTTTGACCAGATACCCCGCCTGGATTTGTTCCTTGCGCATGGGTGTGTAGAGACATCCTGTCAGTTGCGCTATGGTTTGGTTGTCCTTTTTCATCTTATGGAAGCGGTGTTTATAACAGACTTTAATTTTATGAAACACTCTGACGATGTTGTTATGTATAGTGTAGTCCTCCTGCCATAGCTAATGGAATGCCGTATGAATGTCTGGTTTTACCGAAGATTTCTGATAAAACAATAATTGAAATGGACTCTATACATACCGTGGCGCTCCCGAGACCTTAAATTGTCATATTTGCTATAGTTTATTACTGTGGGTAAATTTTGTAATGTCAGCTGTTGTGTATATAGGTCGGGTAACCTGATATTTACATGTTGTTTTTAAGATAACATAGTTACATTTAGTAAATACTTACAACATTACCTTACAGACACACACCGACCAATATACTCCCCGTACACAATTTGTGCAAAAGTATTTGTATAAAAATAGTTATTGCTGTATGTGATCCCACTGGTCAAGGGTAAGTGAATACATCACAGTACTAATTAGGCCAATTTGAGACAGGCGTGTAGTAATTTTTATTTCTATGGTTTCATGTTTAATATGCGGTAGGAATATATTACCCCACAACGCTATTTTGATGTGCTGTTAAACTACATTCCATTTTATAAGGTTCTTCTAAGATTGAGTGCTACATTTATTTTTAGTACTAGATTAATCAACTCTAGTATTCATCCACGTTAATACTTATATAGTGCGATTCTAGAATCAAAATGATGGTTGTTAATGTGTGTACGAAGATAAACTGTATTTTTGTCATTTTAGCTAAATGATATTATGAAGAAAGTTTAGGATTTTATCACATGATTTGAGAAATAGAAAAGCTCTTTGGTTTAAACTTCGAACAAACACTCGATCAATATTCCCCGGTTGTACGTGACAAGGAGTAAGGGTCGGCTGTCCAACCTCCGGGATCTCCGGTTTTCTCCCACTGCTAAAGCCGCCTGCGCGCAAGCGAATAATTGAAATAAAATTGAACCATATGTTAGTCCCGAAATGACCTAGTTTGTGTCGACTGGACGTTAAACCCCATTTCTTTTTCTCCCTCTCAGACTTGATCAATTGGTCTCGAGGTGGACGGTAGTCTTGATTTCCGTTTTAAAAAAAATGATCAGATGACCGAACAAAATGTGGAGATGTTTGCCCAACAGGCTACCATTACCCAATGTGTTTGTAGGAGAGACTGAATGGTCTGACTTGGAAAGTCTGGTAATCACTGCATTGGAAATAAACACTTCTACTTTAAAGGACAATATTGGTGTCAGTCATTATAAAATTTTTGAATTGTGAGATACCCTTTCACCGTCCCATATAATAACTTTTCAACTTCAACGGAATTATCAGTGAAATGAAATTCGATCGTTTGTCTGTTACCGCTCGTTACTTCAGTCTGTTATATAGAAGGACAACTCGTGTTTGTCATGTTTGGCGTCACTTCCCGTTTCTTCACGTGCTTGTTATAAGTCTCCCGTAGCAATGATCTCTGTGTTAAAATTATATTTGGAATGTATTTGACCAGTTCTATCACATATGTAATAATGACTGACACCAATATTGTCCTTTAAGGGGTAACCTTTCCACGCGCATATTCAAATCAAAACACATCCGATTTAACCGGAAGACCGACTGGAGTGGATTAAATCGTCCTCTGGTTAAAAGTAGACACGAAACATGATCCATTGATAGTAGAGATTGTGTGACGTCATCAGTTGTATTCACAGGTAGAATCAAATTAAAGTAGTAATCCCGTGGAATTATCACCTGGTTGTTAGTTGATATAAACTGACCGACGACCAGTAAAGTTTGTAGGCGATTACACATTTGAACGAATTGTGAACAATAAGCGTAAAATTTACGTCTTTTACATTGAAGAAGCTGTGGTGGTTCAGTGAGTAAGACGTTGGCTCGCTAAGCTGGGGGTACCGTGTTCGATCCAGGTGTTGGCCGAGAAAGTTCATCGGGGATTTTCTGGCTCGGTTCCCCCATGCCAGTAATGTAGGTCGGATGACTGGCAAAAGGCAATGTACACATTGGCGTGTACGTAAAAGAACCCATGACAATCGGAACTTGAAATAAGAGCAGGCCGAACTGGCACGGTTCGGTCAAAATTTCCCTCCCAGCGCACTGCATGGCCTATGCCCGTCTTCATTAGCCCAGTTGGTATAGAACAGTAGGACGTTAAACCCCCATTTTTTTCATCTACATAAACTAAATGTAAAACAATACTTTTATGAAAAAGTGTCGCGGTCGTGTGCTTTACCCTTTTTCATCAGATGGTGGGATGGGATGGGCATTCAAAGCGCGAGATAATGATATAGACTTATATGATATCACAATTAATGCTTTGCATCAATGAAATTGAATCACAATATGATCGTAAATTCATAATAAAAATTGACGTCAAACGGGGTGTTAAATCGTGCAGAACTGATTTTATTGCATATCAGTAAAACTAAAACGTAGCGTCGGTAGTAGGTATATGTATTTAGTACGTTTTTATATAAAATCCCAGTTTCTGTGTCTTGTTAAAGTTCATTTCTTCACCATAAATTCCCGTTGAAATAATTTAGGTTCAGGAGCTTACAGAAGTAAAGTGTTAAATTAAAATCAATTTAAATTAAATACAAAAATAAAATTTTTAGCTGACATTTTCTGTTTGTGAATCTGTTGCTCGCCATATTTGATTTGTCAAACGTGAAAGAAACTGCACTAAATGTGTGGCAACAATTCCAAAGATATAATTTAACAACTGCGTATCATCTGCGTAATGAAAGATACATTATATGAAGCCTGTTTGCATGCACCCATAAATCAGAGCTGATCCTTGGGAAAAACTGCAACTTGATCGTTTGTAAAAACTGCATGATTACCTAAAACTGATTGTGATCCGTCAATTACTTATGACAAAAACACCACGCAGTTTACGTCCTTTCGCAAAGCTTTCTGCCAGTCTCCGAAATACATTGGTTCGTCGGCTAATATGTCGTGACTAGCATCAATATGCACTCAATGTAAAACCCCAAGGATTTATATGTAATTCTCGATAATTCTTCAATTGTATTATATGCTTTATGAAAGTCGGTCCTAATTTTGCAGACATCAAACCAAGACATGTTGAGAATATGGGGGCGATCCGCTTTTAACGCAATTTATTTTGAGCAATGTATTTCATAATTCTTACAGCAATTACATGTGTTTTACACGAACCACATTCACTGACAACTAGTCGTTATATATCTTTTATATTGCTCCTACAATTATTAATAATACTTATCTCTTCTATCTTGTTAAACTGTCAACATAACTATATTAAATTACTTGACAGCTTAGTAAATATGTGCCTCTAAAAGATACAAATAAATGATTAAAAAATGACGTATGTAAATATAGTAGATAAACAACCTTGAATGAGGAGAATCTTAAGAAAGCGGTGCATACTTTAAAGATGAATTGAACAAAATATGTATCGTTTTTACTGAAAGAAATATGTAGGGTGTAGTTAACGATAAAAGACTGAGTGAATCGTGAATAGTCTTCATTATAATAATGGTCTTCTAGGCAGCTGCGTGGTGACCCATGATTTTGAATAAGGAACAAGATCCCGTCCGGGCCCGCAATAGGCAGATTTAGCTCTTGCATAATGTATGTTTAATACTTGCTTCAGATATATAAAATAATATAACCTGAATACACAGAGCTTGTGTTATTATCTATATTAAATAGTGCTATGCCTATATAAAGATATACAGATTTTTATCTCGTGTCTTTCTTTTTGTGAATGGCTCGTTACACGCGACTTGAGCCATATTCATACAGATTTAAACACATATTGACACCCCTGTTAGATCCGTTAAATTCTTTACAACAAAATACTTTATTCCCCCCAAAAATGGCGGAATCCGTTTCTTGTCAATACTTTGCTCTTTGTTTTTCTAAAAGTGTAATAACTGTCTAATAAAATGGTACTGCAATACAGTTCAATGCGAATGATTAATTGAGAAATCCCGGGGTATAGGCGTAAGCAATATATAAATGGTTTTGAGAAGCAGTTTGGTCGGATGGTGTTTATAGCACTGCTAATTTAATGGAATTAAAAAGTGGAAATCTGAATAGAATGAAAGGTTCTAAGGCGTTATGGAAAATAGCCTTTCAGTAATTGCGTTGTCGTTTTAGTTTTCGTAATTAGTTCCTTATCTTAACGATGCATTATGTTAAAGCTAAATTTATATATTTTGGCTTCAAATGTTATATAAACCATTAATTACACCTTTATTCACATGACAAGCCTATAATATTTTAATAGCACATCTTGTCAAAACTTCAAACAGTGATAAAATCGCTCAAAATAAAGTAATTTGAATGAAATTTTCAATATATTCATTTTAAAT